GAAAATTTGAAAAGTGAACACTACATCATGAGAGTTAAACATTCAAAAGAGAAACTATAACACTAATCAAAGTAAATGCTGAATTCGATCAAATCCCCACAAGACACACTCAGTACCACTCTATACTCGCTTACTGCAACCGCAACGACTGCAGTCCTTAGAAAAGGTTCTCAACGTTGTCCTCAAACCCAGGGTTATTAAAGAAATCAAACAAGTCCGTCGCCTTCTCTCCACCGTCAACACCATTGTCGGAGCCAGGCATCCATGGATGTTGTACAGCTCCAGCATTCGTCGCAGATTGATTGCCAGAATCCAAGGGGATGCCGAAGGGGATTGTGTTTGCGTTCGGCTCAGGCTTTACCTGTGGCTGAGGCTGAGGTTGGGATTGGTGCTGTGGCGATGCCTTGGGAGTATCGACGTAGCTGCTGATATCGAAGTTGGTAACTGCGTAGTGGCCTCTGTAGTGTATAGCTGCAATGTCGTAGGCTCTTGCAGCTTCTTCCTCAGTGCCTGAGATGACAAAAATTTATCAGAAAAAAAGTCGATAAAAAAAAAAGGTACTTGGGGGGTTTGACTGTTTGAACGGGGGAGCATGAAATTTCAATTTAAGAGGTTTTTCAGGTTTGACTCTTTGACATACTATTGTTATAACAAACTCGCAGTCTACCGTCGCTCCATTGTTTGCGGATGTACGTATTAACTATCCGTACCCAGTAGGATGTGAATATCTTTTCTGAATTTTTTTTATAGGACTTGAATATGGATATGAACAAAATATCTAGATCCCTATCAGTATAATAGGATGTAATTTAGACACAAATATTTGACATATAAAAAAAAAGAAAACAAAGAAGGAAAACAGACATTATTCAGAAGGGAAAGTTTCTGTTGGTTCTCGGCTATCTTTATCTATATATTCCTAAAATTTACTGTATTATTAAACTCGACCCTTCAAATTTTCACATTTGTCACTTTACCCTAAAAAAAAAATTCTTTTTAAAGGTAACCTAGCTTGGAATCGAACTCAAGACAGTTAAAGCCATACTGAAACCTCCCACATCAAAATCAATTAAAATCCTTTAGTATACCTGTCAACATATCATCGGTTAACTTCTAATAGAGTTTGGATGAAGTGCGTATCTTACCCTCGTCATTAACCTCAGTTAAAAAATATTGAAAAATCTATAACAAAAATCTAAAGAATACCCTAGCATATTATGTACTATGTCATGAATTGCTCTCAAATAAATTTTATTTTCCGAAAAGCTGTTAGTAGATAGCACCTCACAATTCCACGTGCAAGTGAGAAAATTTTCAACTATTTTGCCATTTACAGGCACGACCACATATTAATTCATGCATTCATCCTAGTTTCAACTATTTTGCCATTTACAGGCACGACCACCATATTATAATTAATGCATTCATCCTAGTTTCAACTATTTTGCCATTTACAGGCACGACCACATATTAATGCATTCATCCTAGTTTTGGAGTTATATAATTAAACAATAGATTAATTAATTAAACGAGACAACAAGGTCTCACCTTCTCACTTAAAAAAAAACTTCCAGTTGAATTGAGTAACAAGGTCTCACCTTTTCACTTAAAAAAACTTCCAATGGAATTGAGTTCTAGTCACAATTAATTTGTTACCTTGTGTGTTAAAATATGAACAAACAACTATTAATTTCTGATATTCAGTTACTAATGTAATGTATTTTATATTTCACATTTTATTTTATGGAGGAAGATATATACCACACAATAATCCCCAGCCGGTTTGATTACTTTCACGCACCGGTATTTAAAACCATAAATAAAATTCATTATCAAACTTCTCAAACTAATCTAAGAAAACAAATGTAAGATGATTGCATGTAGCCAATAAAAATTAGGAGGAAAGAAAAAAGAAGAACTCACTATAAGTTCCCAAATATAGGTACTTTTGTCCCACAACGCGACCAATCCTTGCTTCCCATCGTCCATTTTGGTGATGCCTTCATTCACAAACCAGGTATCATTTCGCAAGAGTTAAAAACAAATTTTGTTTTAATTTTCGATAAACTGAGAAAGAACCTCCTTAGAATTTAGACCAAAAATTTTGAAGTGATTCTTATTTCTTAATCAATATATTACCTTGCAACACCTCGATATTTCGAGAGCCCGCGTGAGAAGCCATTGCTTTTACGCCTAAGGGAAGCCAAGTACTCTTCCTTGGACATTTTCTGCATCTCTGCGTACTCTTTTACATAATTCTCAGCCTGTAATATTAAATTTAATAAAATATAAATTTAACAACGTTATAACTAGCCAAAAATAATTGCGATTGAAGGGATTAAACGTATAGAGAATGTGCAAAGGGCAATTACAGGGAAGTTGAGGGTGGCTTGTAGGCCCCAGTACTTAAGCGCGGCAAGATCATAGGTTCGAGCAGCTGCCTCCTCTTCATCGTATCCTCCTGTCCCGCGTCATGCATCAACCATCAATGTAATCACATAACGCCATCAATTAACCATCAATATAATCACATAACAATAATTAGATTAGGCCTTGCTTGGCAAAGGGTTAAGGAAGAGGGGTTAAAGAGAAGAAATTAATATATTTAGCCTATTCGATAATCTGAAGGACTAAATTATTAACCCGTTAAATAAGTTTTATTTTAGTCATTGTGATCAGTTTTAGTGTTTGGAAATAATAATAATTTTGACTATTTTTTTATAATTAGAATGATTAACTCTTAATCATTCTAAATAGGAGTATTAGTAAATCCCTCATTTTAATTCCTCTAGAGGGGTTAGGTTAACCCTTCTATATTTTTTATGTTTAGCAAATTATGGAGGGTTAACTCACTTTAACCATTGTATAGATTTTTTGTATTTGACGGGTTAAAAAGGGGTTAAGTCTCCTTAACCCCTTACCTAACCATTTTGCTAAACGGTACCTTAGAGAATAAAACATACATAAATAAAATAAAAAATTAGCCAACTTTTTTTTAATAACTGTAAGTGAAAACGAAGAAGGATATATAGTAATGCATGTGATAAACAACTTACCCAAATACACTAGAAAATAGACAGAAGCATCCATGAGAGCGGCACATACAAAAAATAAAATAAAAAAAACAAAGAAATTAATTATATGAGAAAATAAATAAATAATCTCATTAAAACTTAAAAATGTAATCTCTCTCAAAAAAAAAAAATCTCTAGAAAATTTATTTTAGAGCTATAAAACATGTTAAAATATATACCTTGCCTCCCTTTTTTGTTTTGAAGGGGGTTCCAACCCTTGTCCCAAAGGTGGGCTTCATATCTACCTGTCCATCTATGCCTACAATATATTAAAGTGACACGCATTTAAGTTTAAAAATTAGAAAACAAACAAAATCAACAAAAATAAGGAAAGAAAGGGGAAAAAGGATGCATGCACTGAGAGAGTTTGGCTTTTTAATTATCCCCAAAATTACCCCAATGAATAACCCCCTTAACGCAGAAGTTGACGTTGGCCCATGTTACCATAAAAGTGAGAGAACAAAATATTGAAATATTGAGATAGTAGTATAAATTGATTATATATACACACACATTTTCATATCCTTAATTTTAATTGTTGTTACCTAGTGACCCCTCTATATATAGAGCTCCTCTTGCCATTAGCAAGCATAGGGTTGGGCTCTCTCTTGCGCTTTGGCCTCTCAATATTGTCATTACTATTACGAGGCAAGGGAAGAGAAGGAGAAGTTGAGCTTGAACAGGATGAGGATGATGAACTGAGAGGAGGGGATTTTTCCATTTTTCTTTCTTTCTTTCTTTCTTTCTCTCTTTGTCAAAAAGCGAAGAAGAGGAGAGGCTCTACATTTATAGAGAAGAGGGAGAAATTTTTAACTTTTGTACCAATTAATTAATGTTTTAGTGTGGGGGGTTTGAATTGTTTGAAATTTGCTGCTGTCGTTAGAACTGTCCAAATTGAGTGAGTCAGAGATTGGTTATTTGCATTGGTTAGAGTGAGCGAATCAACACGTGGAGTAAAGGGTTCACTCATGCTCCCAATAGGAGCCCGGTCTCCACTGCACACTCTCATTCAATGAGCCGGCTGTGAAACATGAAGGAAGAGGAATATTGAAAATATAGAACTATAATTATCAAGTGTTATCATTTGAAGTTTTGATATGAGGATGTTTGGAGAGTTTTGTTTTTTTAAAGGTTATAAGTTATGCTAGCTTTTAATGGATTTTGGTTTTTATAATAAAAATATTACAAAAATTGTATGAATAGTATATATAGTAAGTTTTTTTTTTCAAACCTAGCTTATTTAGCTGAGCTTATAAATTAATTTTTAAAAACCTGTAATACACTAGCCTTTTAAAATGTGATTTATAAGGCAACTTATTTGTTATTTTGCCAAACAGGTAGAAATAAAAAAGACTAGATTAAAAGCTAGTTTGTTTGCAAAATAAGTCACCCCAAACACCCTCATATGGTTAGAGGGACTTTCACAGAGTATCAGACCCTATCTCGGTTCTAATGTTGATGGACACGAATTTAGAATAGATTTTTTAAAAAATATTATCACTCTCTGAGTTCAAGTTTCGGTCTATAAAAAAACAACTAACCTGTGAAGATATGTTAGAATATGAAAATATAATCCTAAAACCTAATCATAACTTTAAAGTTTTGATATAATAGTTAGACGGACTTTCACACACACATTTTTTACATTTGCATAAACACATTTTTCATGCATTTGTGCACTGCATAGAAAGTGGACATACGCATTACCACTTTCCATTTTAGTTTTACCTTGTTCGATTATATTCTATTGGTTTTATGATATATTTTCATTTTTCATAAAAAATTTCTCATTTTGAATGGATTTTGGTTAGAGGATTTTTGAGTGGCACCTTAGCATTTTCATGGTTTATAAAGATGCACCGAAACATAGTAATTAAACCTGGAAAAGTTTAATGTGGGCCCATATAACTTTTCAACTTTTTGCTTCAAAATATCTGCAATCAAACAATCCCTAAACACAACTACATTTTTTATACTGAGGGTTCTAAACTATTTTATTAGCACTTTGACAATTACATTTTTTAATATTGGATGTCGTTGTTCTACCACTAGGCTAAGATGTCACGTGATGGTTTTTTTTACCACAATTTAACTTAAAATGACTAAATCATCCTCTATTGACTCTATCAAAGGTAAAAGAAAAAAAGTAATGCATATGAAATTCAGAGATTATGCGTGCTAGTAAGATAGTCTAGGACTTATAATGGCTAAAACCCTCTTGCTACATGGTGTATATTTGCAGTTGACATATTAATAATATGAAGGGGTTATTTGTAAGTTTGTGAGGGCCTATATAAGCCCAAGAGATTTCATAATAAGATTAGGGTTTTCAATTCATTATGGTATCAAAGCTAAAATCCTAGCCGCCGTCGCCGTGGTTCCCATTGCTGATTTTGTCAGAGAGGAGGATCTTGTCGTGATGTGGAAGATCCAGATCTAGGTGTGTAGCTTGTTAGATTCTCTCGACATTTCAGTCCTAGAACTGATGAGAGGAAGAGTGTATATCTCACGTTGTTGAGATATATCACTTTTGATTCTTGTTTTCTTTGAGAAACAAGGATTTAGTTGAGATCTTACTCTTGTTGTGTAGCAGAAGTGCTGCCGAAATTTTCACTGCGCACAACAAGTGTTTGATCTAGAGCTTGATCGATGGAGGAGATCATTAAGAAGTTGAACCCCACGGGGGTCTCAACTTTAATACAGCTGATGAAGTTGTCGGCTGGTGAGAGCGCGACAAGGCCACCGGCAAAGTTAGAGCTTCCACCCATCGATCTGAAGCTTAATGAACCAGCTACTTACCTGAGTTGGTCACGGCGGGTGAGATACACCCTTGCAGGGAGGAACCTGGAGGGGTACTTGACAGGAGAAAGGACAGAGCCGGTTGAGGGCTTAGCAGAAAGAGATGAGTGGAAGTCCATTCATATGTTGGTGTACATCTGGTTCCTCAACTTTTTGGTCCAGTCGGTCTCCGCCACAGTAGATGGCATCAGGAAGGTAAAGGATGTCTGGGAGAAGTTGAGGAGGACCTATGATGGGGTGGGGAATAACCTGAGGGTGTTCCAGATCCACAGTCCAGGGAGATAGGACTGTACAGGAGTATGCCACAGAGCTGGAGCGACTGTGGCTAGATTATGATCACTTCTCACCTCGGGCAAGCTACAAGGACCCGGAGTGCAAGGAGCGAGAGGCCTTTCTACAGGAAAGGACTACGGTGTTTCTCAAGGGGCTGGCATCAGAGTTTTCTCAGAGGATTGCATTGCTTCTAGCTTAGCCGAAGATTCCCACACTTGAGGAGGCAGTCTCGGCCATGATCCAGGAGGAGACTCGTATTAGGCTGCAGACAGGGACAGGTGGACTTCCAGTAGTGAAGTCAGCACTGGCAGCCTCCAACTCCGTGAACACTGGATCCAAGGGGGAAACTCGACAGTACTACAACTGCGGTGAAGTGGGTCATTTAAGGTATGCTTGCACTAAGCCACCCAAGGAAGGAGATTCGGGTGGACGTGGACAGTTCGGAGGTCGTGGTCGTGGTCGTGGCCGTGGGGGTCGATGAGGTGGAAGAGGAGCAAGCAACTGGGCGAATCTGATAGTAGCAGAGGGAGAGGAAGCAGCTGAGGTAGTCTTTACTAAGGAGGATCATGCACTCCTGGAGATACCCAGGAGGAAGCAGAGAGTAGCAGGAAATGGAGACAGGAGGAGTGGGATTGAGGAGGTATCCACTTCGTTCTTCGCCAGAGGCAACACTGCTACTTATGCTCATCCGACCAAAGATACTGATGACATACATGCTCTTGCTTCTATATCTCCTGATAGATCATCAGAATGGATAGTCGACTTCGGTGTATCTTGACATGTGACAGGTAATGCTAGTGAGTTCTCATCATATACTTACCTAGCATCGGCTGATAGTATCCAAACAACTGATGGTACATTTCAGCCAGTGATTGGTAAGGGTACAGTCAATTGTACAGGTTCTGTAACTTTGTCCAATGTTTTGCATGATCCTTCCTTTCCAATCAATCTTTTGTCCATTAGTGCTATCATACTCCAACTAAAATGCATTGTTTCTTTTGACATTCTCAAAGTGATCTTTCAGGAGAAGGGGACAGGACAGAGACTTGAGACTGGCACATGGAGTAGTGGGCTGTGGTACCTAGATCGTGAAGGGCTGGATTCATCATTAGTGTCAATGGTAGAGAGAGCAGGAGTAGGATCTGAGATGAGTGCTGAGAGTGTATTGATGCTTCATCACCAGTGCTTAGGACACTCATCCTTTAGTATTTTAAGTAGGTTGTATCTATCTTTATTTGAGAAAATAAATAAACAGAAACTTGTGTACGATGCATGTGAGTTTGGAAAGCTTACTAGAAGCTCTTATGTTAGTTCTGGTCATAGGAGTTCTCATGCATTTGACCTAATATATTCAGATGGGCTAAAATACCAAATTGGTATATTTATACGAACGCTTTTGCCAGTTTGGTATTTTTAAAAACTCCAGCGATGAAAAGGCATTAAAGCTCGTGCTTTTTGTCAATAAGACACTTTTCTCAAAACTCCGCCGAGAAATTTTGCATTTAACCCCCTTATCTCCCAAAATTATTAAATTTGTACCCCCTCTCTCCTCCTCCTTCTCCTCCTCCTCTCCCATTCCCCTCTCCCTCCAGCGCACCATCGTCCTCCTCCTCCTCTTCTCCGTCCCCATCTCCCTCCTCTTGATTCCATTCTCAGCCACCAATTCTCTAGCATTCTTCTCCAAGGATTTTGGAGTACCAACATGACTCTTAAACATAGATTTCTAAGAACCCAATGTACTTTCATTGCAGCTCCCCTGATCAAAGACTTCAACTTTGAATAGAATCTCATTGTCTTGCTGCTCTTGCTTAATGTTAGCTCCTGCAGATATCTTACATGGAAAAATGAAGAAGGAGGAAATCAAGGAAGAGAAGAAGGAAGAAGGAGAAAATGTTTCGGAGGAAGAAGTTATTGGGCCCTCAGCAAGCGAGGAAGAGAAGCCAATAGAAGAAACAGCAAAGGAAGTAAGTGTTGGGACCTCAGAGAAACCTATAAATGAAGCAAAGAGGGAAATTATCTAGACCTCAGAGAAAAATGAAGGAGCAGTGAAGGAGGAAGTTGCTGAGACTTTGGAGGCTGTCCAGGAAAGGAAACCTGCAGAGGCATCTCAAGTTGAGAATTTGGAGGCAGAGAAAGTTAAATCCGGTGGTGACGATGGTTCAACTTTGAAAATAGAAGGTAAAATGGCTTCAGAATCAAAGTCTGAACCTAAAGAACTGGGCAAGGATAGTGGTTTTTGTGTGGTCTCGAGCCAGATAGCAATGCAAGAAGAGGATGATCTTGGCTGGGATGAGATTAACGATCTCGGGGAACATGAAGATAAGGACAGGATAGTGGATGGATCCAGCGGTATTCCTAAAAAATTGGACTTTTGGAAGAGGCTAAACATCGCTGAAGATGATGAGGATTTGAGTTGGGATATTGAAGATGATGATGAACCTGCCTAGCCTTGATTGAGGGTATAAAGATTCCACATTTATCTAATCAGTTCTGGCATCTGAGGTTCTCCTGCAAGCATGTCAATAATCCATCTTTTATCTACTCTACTAACTTCATGTGAATATGAATTGTATGCCTCAATGGATTAAAGCTTATAGGTCATTGCTAGATTACATACATTTACATGTCCAATCGTGTTGTGCTTTTCAG